TTGTACATTGTAAATATCCCCTCCCCAAAGCCATGTAATAGCGCAGGGTTTATTTTCGTACTTTACATTTTTCTATACATATTAACTACTAGTAACTAGGATTGCATGGCAAGACTGAAAACATACAAAAAAACATTAGCAAACCTAAACACGCAAGATAAATACCTAAACTAAACATAATTGCACATGCGCACCTCTAGGGTATGCCACTTTAGTTGCCTTCGGAAAACGGTCATAATTCTCGAAACGTGAGATGTTTTAGTGGTTTTCCTCTAGTTTGAAAGATCACTAGTCCCTCGATGACCCTCTCGATGTTTCCTCGATTAAAAGTGATCTTAGAAATTTAGGGCAGTTACTAAAATTCCTTACCAAGTTGCCTACGTGACCGTAACGTCCCTTCGAATGTCCCTCAAACATCCAACGATAGGGTTACCTACTCACTAATAGTAGCATAGCACTGTCTAAACGATAGGATGTAAATAACTATCTTCTCAAGTACAAGTAGATAGTTGTTAGATGCTTGCTCAAGCAAAACAAATTTCACCACTTACACTTAAACATTTCAAAACACTTTCAAAAACATTCGCTTTGTCAACACTCTTAAGGACTGATACAAGAGTTATCACAAAGTGAATCGCCACACTAAGGCATTTTCAAAATAAACTTTCAAAACACACAAAGCACAAGAAATTTTCAAAACATGAGCTAGCATCTAAGAGCCCATAGAAAAATACGGATGGAAAGGGTGCTAACACCTTCCCTTTCCATAATCTACCCCCCTTACTCAGAAGATTCTCGAAAAGGTATTTTTCTGTTCTTTTCACCCTTTCCTTAATTTAGATAAAAGAAAAGTCGGTGGCGACTCTTGTTTACCGCAACATTTGCGAACAGAAATGCAAAACCAATATTAAACAGTCGGTTCTGCCACCGTATCACTGAACTGGCGACTCTGCAGGGGATTTATAAAAAGGTGGGGTTACCTTAGAGTTAGTTCATTATTTAAATTTATTTTTGTGCTTTGTTTATTTTACTTTTGAGGGCTTTGTTTGGGTTACTATAGATCCTACACCCAGATCTAGGGCACTTTTTAGCTAAGTAGCAATAGATCATGGAAACTGTGCGGGGTATACCGACACGATTGATGCGATAGCTACATTGATGTGACACTTTGGTTAGTACCGGTAGCCCTTAAGTAGTTAAGGAGAATACGGGGCCGCTGCATGGTGTCATGAAGCATCAACTGACCTTAGAACCTTTAATTGAACAACTTGGCCATTAGGAAGTAGGGAGATAGCCGTCTTTGGTGTAGTCCTAAGTCGGTTGATATTCGATACTACATTCATTGAGATTTAACTCCCGAGTTTTGTTTGGTGGCAAGTCAGTTATCGATCGGAACGAAAATTGTGGGAAAGATCAGTGATATTGAGATCCCTTAAACCCGATTACTTTCTAGGACAGTGTTGTATCCCAAAATTTTTGCTCTCATGTTTTACAAGGTCTTCCCCTACATGGTTGGTCACAAACCCTTGCCTAAGGAAAAGGAAAATTTGTGAGTAGTGTTTTCAAGTTTCCTTCGATTGGCATCTCCAAAATGCCCTTCGATTGGCATTTCAGCAAAGCCTTTCGATTGGCCTTGCAATGGGATCCTTCGATTGGCATTCCTAAAGGTTCCTTCGATTGGAGCACCAGGGCTTCCTTCGATTGGAGCATCAGAGCTTCCTTCGATTGGATCATCAGAGCTTCCTTCGATTTGGAGCATCAGAGCTTCCTTCGATTGGAGCATCAGAGCTTCCTTCGATTTGGAGCATCAGAGCTTCCTTCGATTGGAGCATCAGAGCTTCCTTCAATTTGGAGCATCAGAGCTTCCTTCGATTTAGAGAATCAGAGCTTCCTTCGATTGGAACATCAGAGCTTCCTTTGATTTAGAGCATAAGAGCTTCCTTCGATTGGAGCATCAGATGCTTCCTTCGATTGAAACATCAGAGCAAAGGCCCTTCGATTGGAATTCCAAAAGAGTCCATTCGAAGAAGCTTGCAAAGACTCCATTCGAAAGAGCTTCATCAGAGCCATTTGAAGGAGCTTCAGAAGATCCATTTGAAGAAGTGTGCAAAGGTCCATTCGAAGGAGGCCATCAGCCCATTCGAAGGAGGACATTCGAAGGCCAATTACATATCATTCAAAATTCAAAAAGGGAGACAAGATCCCATGTGTTTGGCCAACGTTATAAATTCCTATTCATGGCTTTCAAACACAATCAAGGCTATTTAAACCTTTTCCTTCTTGTCCCCTCTACCCCCTCTATATAAAGAGATTACAAGTGTTGCATGAAGGAGGGGGGAGGAACGAAAAAACATTGGAGAGAGGCTGCCCACAAAATCCATCAAAGGTTGCCAGAATTTTCCAAGCAAACGCCACTCCTCAACAAAAGTAGCCAAGCCCAGAAGCCCCAGATCGAAGGTGCCTATATCCAAGAAGTGCTGAAATCGAAGCTTCAATCTATTGGTAAGAGTGGGTAAACTATCCAATCTTGTATTTGCATAACACATCCATACTTGTTGTTACCTTCGATTTGCCATCCTAGACAGGATCAAAGGGCCTGGGTTTGGCACCCAGGTCATATTCTTCGTTTGCTAACACTTGCTGCAGATTTAGCCTGAAAAGACCCAGCAAGCGCAGGATTGAAGGACCTGGGTTTTGATACCCAGGTCTTGCATTTTATTTCGCTAACATATTTTTGCAGGTATAGCATCCCAGATCAAAGTGTAGCGGTAGAAATGTTCAAGACTAAGCCATTGGATTGACTAGACTTTATACAAATCAAAATAAAAATCGCCACCAGGCTTTATTGTTTCCAAAGGAATGGGAAAACAGCGAATAACCCAAAAAGAGGGGGAAAGATTCAAGGTAAGGGAGTTGGTTATGCAAAAGGAAGGTATTAGAACCCTAAACATCTACAGTACTCCGCAGGGGTCTCTTTGTAAAATCTGTATATTTTGAATGTAAAAATGTTGTATAAAAAATGGACGGTGGAGGTGAGTTAAGAAATATATTTATTTCATAATTTTTGCACCCGCCGCGGTTGCGAACCTTTAGTGCCTACTGTAGCGGTGAAAATCGGAGATCAAGTTATTAATTAACTTGACTCACCAAAGCAAGAGTCGCCAATTCTGTAGCGGTGAAAATCGGAGATCAAGCTATTAATTAACTTGACTCACCAAAGCAAGAGTCGCCACCGCGCTTTATTATTTCCAAGGGAAAAGGGAAAAGAGCGAAATAAAACCCTAAAATATGCAATGTAAAATAATACTTAAAAGTAATAAAATACAATGCGTTTTTGAAAGAGATCGAGAGTTCGGGGGTTGGTTATACAATGGGAAGGTATTAGCACCCAATGCATCTGCGGTACTCCGCAGGAACCTTTTGAAATATCTGTTTTTAGTTAAAATTGTTTGTTTGATTAAAATGGTTCGTTTGGCTAAAAATAGGTGTTGGCGAGATTTTGAAGATACGACGACCTAGTATCGAAGATTTAACTTACAAAGGGGTGAGTTTTAAAATTGAGTCTTTTAGAAAAAAATTAACTTGATTAACAACATAGTAAAACAAAAATGAAGGAAGGAATTCGCATAATCGTATTACATATATATATTTGATGACATGAAGTCAACAAAGTTAAAACATTTCCCTTGGATTTTAGATGAACGAAAAAAGATTAAATGATTGAGAATAAAGTTAATTGGAATGACAATTGAATAATTAAGTAAGTAACTAATTTATACTAGCATGTATTTTTGAACAATTAAATAAATAAAAAATTAAATAAAAGACTAATTTGTAAAGCATTTATTTTTTGTATTTTATAATATTTAAAAAAAACAAATAGCAAAATAAATAAATAAAAAACATAGAAAAGAAAATGAGTAAATGGGCCAAACAAACCGTAATTGTTGGGGGTGAGGATAGAAAATCTTCCAACCATTAAGAGCTCCGTGATATCCAGTGTGGCAAGTTGTAAGTATGTTGATTCCAAGAATGAATCCTCGTCGTACGATCTGGTGTTGACTTATAATGTATTTGATGAAAGGTACTGATGGCGCTGGTGCATCATAAGAGTGTGGGATGTACACACGAAATCATATGAATCTTCCACCTGAACGGTGACAAGTGTCCTAGTGATAGCGACACTTGTCACTACCGTATCGGACCAACACAAAACAAACAATATCTACAAAAATGAAACAAAGAGATAACCAGGTTTATCATTAACGTAAAACAAAAATTTATTCCTCTATAACGACGTTCTTTCAACCTTTTCTATTTCTTCATTCAAACAAAATAGCAAAAATAATAATAATAAAAAACAAAAGTTGAAGGATCCACACGGCGGCGAATGAAGAACGCAAGTGGTGATGCGTATGAACGTGGAGGTGGCGCGTAGTGAATGGAGAAGATGGCTGGTTTTTTTTGGAGAGGAGGAATTATGCTGTGCGTTGAAATAGAAGGGTGGTTTATGATGAGATTATGTGTGGCGTAAGGGGTTGCTGAGATTTCCTTATTGTACAGCGGAGGGAGAATCGGCAATGAGGATTGGGTGTTGAAGGAATCTACGGTGATGATGGTGTAGTTGGGTTGTAATGGTGACGGATCGGGGATGTGGCGGATGAAAGGTTGAGTCGTGGATGGGTGGTTTTTATGGAAATGAGGGAGAGGAACAGAGGGTTACAGTAATTGATGAAGGAAGATGTGGCGTAGTAGAGAACACTTGGTTGCCCTGTGATCTGTTGAAACAAGACCAATCCTGCACTAATCACAAGAGCCTTCTTACATTTATTTGCAACATTAATGGCATCTGAGGGACGTAAATCCACACTAATAATATCACTTTTCCCTGGCTGACTAAGGTACAATCTGGCAAAGTAAGTACTGACTACTCTCTTTGTAATTCTCACCATTACCACTTCATGGTCTAGTCTTTCAACTAGATTTTTCACAACCTGGAACTAGTCCGGAAAATCCTCACTTTCTTCTTCAACTTCTGCATCTATAAGCTTTTCAATAGCAACCTTTCCTACAATAATGGGCAGAACATAGTCCCCATCACAAGAAATCTTGAGAAAAATGGTGGGATTCTGAAAAGTCTGTAGAAGATCTTGTCTTAATAAACTACTATCCGTTCTTGAGGTGTGTTGTGGAAATGATGAGATGGGTGATTTCCATTGTAAGTCATCTTGAAAACGGTGTCTCCACATACCATAGTGTGTTATTGTTTCTGAGAGAAGGAGAGAAGCTTCGAGAAAATCGGTGTTGTTGTTGTTGTGGTAGTGATCGCCGGGAGTGGATCTGATGGGAGATGAATTACAGGAAATGAGGAAGGATTTGGGTTTAGGGAAGCGGAAGCGACGGGAGCGGAGGAGAGGGAGGTTAATGGGGGATAAATCGAAGGAGATGGAGTGAGAGACGGAGCGGGAGGTGGCGGTACGAGTTGGGTTTGTGAGGTGGTATGGAGGAAGGTGACGGTAGTGTGCTGGCAACTGAAAGGGTTAATGTGAAGGTTGGTTTTTTGTGTGAGCAGGTGAGAGAGATAAGTGCTAGTTACTTATGTGTTGTGTAGCAGGAGAAGAAAATGAAATAGATAGATAAGGTAGCTAGCGGAGTAGAGATTTTAAAAAGAGGAAGTAGGTAGGAGTTACTGTAAGTAGAAAAGGGGAGAAGAGAGAAGTGGATAGAGGGGGAAAGGGTAAAAAGTGATATTGTTTTTGGCAATTTTGTATGAATCCTCAATTTCATCCAACAACCAATAGGAATAGAGTGTAGCATAAATAATATATTTTGTGATCAAATAGTCCTTAAATGCCTAAAATAAAATAAAAACCTGAAATTATAAAAAATAACTCAATTTAAAATGATTTTTTGAATATTTTATGAATAAAAAATAAAGACCCAAAAGGACCGAAAAATGATAAAAAACGGACGAAAAATTATCCGAAAAAATAAAATGAACACATTAAAATAATCTACATGTCACAAAGATTAAAGGAAAAAATGTTCAAGAAGTCAAAAAAATCAAAAATAAAATAATAATAAAATATCAGACTAAACAGACGTTTAAGGTTAAAAACGAGACTTCGAACTGTACCAAAAAATAAAGCGAGCATACCGTCATAATCTACGCGAAGCGCAGATTCATAAAATGATCGGTAAAAGGTGAAAAACTTGAAATATTTTCTCGCTACTTTCCCGCATAGTGTCGAATCGCTTTTAACAGTCTGTCTATAAAACCGAAATATTTTATTATCGACATATAAACAACTTGGAGCAGTGCAAGAAAATAGTAAACAGATAAAAATGAATGAAGTGAAATGTCGGGTATTTTACAACTGAAAGACGATGCAAACTTTGATTTAAACTGACTTTTTCTGGTCAACTTAAATACGACTAATGATGCAAAATGTGATGAATGAAGATATTTACTAATGATTGTGACCAAATAACAAAATATGGTATGAACGTGTGACTGAAAAAATTAGGGGCGAAATTTAGGGTGCAACAGTTGTGCCTTGATGAATCAGTCTTCGAGAATCGATAATCAACCGTACTTCTGGCTTGGGAGACTCAAAACCTTAATTGAGGCGCGACACCTGATGCTCTTGATTCAGACCTGTCTCTGCACATGACACAAAAGAAAACATGAACATACACCTTTGTATGCGATTAGAAATTAGTAATACATATGCTAAAAATGTTCAAAACACTTGACAATCTTCGCATAGTCGAAGCTCGAAGGTGAGACGTTAAAACCGACCGTATTTCGTGACCTTGACTTATGTTAAAAAATGCAAAAAATAAAAATGGGGTCTTAGGTCAAAAATTGGGGTACAACAGCTGCCCCTATTTAAGTTTCTTTTATCTGGAGATATGAAGATTGGGATCTTCATTTCGACGAGATTGAAGGGACTTAAATATAGAATACACAATTTTTGGCCTTAAGATACCGCGATTATGTTCATGATATGATATGAATGTAATGCTCTGAATTTTATGGGGAATTACGCCATATGAGACAGACTATGCTGGAGAAACCAAACACATTATACAGTAATCCCACAGAGGAAGAGGTTGTAACTCCACTGGGGAAACAGAGTCATAGACTTCAAATGAGAGACTCTTGAATGATTTACATCAGTGTTGAGACTGGAAAAGAAATGATTTACATCAGCATTGAGACTGAAAAAGAAATGATTTACATCAGCACCGAGACTGGAAAACAAAATGATTGACATCAGCACTGTGGCTGGAAAACAAAATGATTGACATCAGCACTGCGGCTGGAGATAAACATCTCTGATTTCTGAATTTTACCAAGAACGATAACACATTTCTTCTCTAACCAAGATATCGCTTGAAAAGGATAAAATAACAAACTTCCCCACGGGACTTTTCCGAAAGGGATGCCATTTGCTGAGTAGACATTATTGTTGGGGATGCACAAGCTGTTCAAATAAAGAGGCCGCCACTTGCTTCCTTTCAAAGGTGTCAATAACATACAAGCTGCTCATGAAGAGACCGCCACTTGCTGTCTTCAAAGAATATTAAAGCACACAAGTTGCTCATGAAGAGTCTGCCACTTGTTGCCAAAAACCCACAAGCTGCTCATAAAGAAGCTGCCACTTGCTGTCTTCAAAGAATATCAAAGCACACAAGCTGCTCATGAAGAGTCTGCCACTTGTTGCCAATAACCCACAAGCTGCTCATAAAGAAGCTGCCACTTGTTGTCTTCAAAGAATATCAAAGCACACAAGCTGCTCATGAAGAGTCTGCCACTTGTTGCCAATAACCCACAAGCTGCTCATAAAGAAGCTGCCACTTGCCGTTTTCAAGGGAACAATAACACACAAGTTGCTCAAATAGATAAGCTGCCACTTGCTGTCTTCCAAAAATACTAACGTACAAGCTGCTCATGAAGAGGCTGCCACTTGCCCTTTTCCGTACAAGCTGCTCATGAAGAGACCGCCACTTGCCGTTTTCAAAAAGTGTTGATAACATACAAGTTGTCCATGAAGAGATTCCCGATTGCTGTTTTTAAAAGTGTTGATAACATACAAATTGTCCATGAAGAGATTTCCGCTTGCTGTTTTTAAAAGTGTTGATAACATACAAGTTGTCCATGAAGAGACTGCCGCTTGCTGTTTTCTCAAAGATACCCATAAAATATCATGAAGATATTGCTGGAGGTGAGAATCAATAATTTCATCGAGGATGGACAAACTGCTCATGAAGAGACCGCCATTTGTCGTAGAGAAATCAGAAATAATCAAACTGCTCAAATAAAGAGTCAGTCGCTTGTTGTCATGTCGATATTCCAGAAGAAGGTTGTGATAACACTGCTGGGGAATAAAGTTCATCTTCAATGGGGAACCATGAATAAATCCTTCTTGAGGAGACCAAGTATTTACATTGCAAAATAAATGCACTCTCCATCTAGGTTTTACAGCCTAGAGATATCCACAGGGTATCGTTCACAAGAGACAAAGCTCAATCCAGGAATAAACTAGAGAGAAAATAGTCAAACAAGACTCCATCCAATGAGGAAACAACTCAAATGGGGATTTATCCTATCCAGAGATGGAAAAGGAAAGCTAAAGCAAGATTCTTCCACGAGAGTTAACTCAGTGAGGAATTAGAATGGAGGCACACTTTATGCTTAAGTTGACACTATATTTGAGGAGAGGAAATATGATAACCAAAGTATACATATCAAGAACATCAACAAATATCAATGTGTGTGCATGATGCAAGTGTGAATGAATAAATGAATGCCATGTATGTGCTGACAAAACAAATAGACAAGATAAACTGGAGATGATAAGACATCATAGCACAACCCAACACTCGGCTAATCTCAACAGGATGGGAACATTACTGGAGATAAAACACAGGCCATCATTAGAGCAAGGTACTTTTACAAGGCTTAAATATCTCTGGAGAGGAAGATATTTTCAGGTAGAAAACCCAAAATCTAGTCTTCTATTGCAAACAATCCATTGAAAGGATAACAACACAAACAAAGTTTCAGCAGGAAAGAAGTCTTGCTTAGCTGGAGATACTGGGAACACCACCCTCTGATAATGTATGAAAAACATATCTTGACAAATCTGGATTGCCCCTGGGATTAATTTTGGATGCCCCAAGTTTACTGCTGATAAGCTGCGTGATGCACGACAATTCTTGTGAATAGCTTCACCTCTAAAATGCCCCGAGCTATATGGTTGATGAGGAGAAATCGTCTCAAGAGGATTTTACAAAAGACCTGGCATTCACTATGCTCTGGTGTCTTCAGACTCTTAGAGAGATTCATCAAATCTCGATGTGATTGCCCCGGATTGACTGTAGTTGGCACAACAAAGTCTTAAAATTTTGCCCCAAAAGAGTAAACAAATTGGGAAAGCATTAATTAGGAGAAGCAACATGTCCGTGCTTAAGGTCTTCAGGTGACATGCCCCTGGATATGATTTTTTTCTTGAAATGATTCGCCAATTACTCAACATAGTTTCAAGCCTTAAAAGAATAAACTCATCACTGGTGCTTATGTGAGCTTCCTTGATATCAAACAAATGTTTTGCAGTTAGAAAAAGTTTACAATGAGAATGAAAATTCTAATGCAACAGTTATGTAAGTCTTGAAGATTTTGAAAGATATCGCACAAATTTTGCGAGTTAAAGCACCATTTATTTTTGTATACGAAAAACATATGATACCAACATAACTATTTAGAACATTCATGGGAGTCAGGAACACTATCTCAATGAAGTATGCTTTCAAAATAACCTTGCTTCAATTAGGACTTTTGAAGGTTGTAACGTGGTCTGGTTCATGGGTTTTTAGAAAAAAGATTTTAAGGCTCAAAATATTTGGTGCCCACCCCCTTCATGATGTTCTCCAATCCTATGTTCAGTTAATTCAACATGTGCGTTCATCTCTCAAAAGGATTTTGTGACGGTTAAGGAAACGACGAGGCTTTCGGAGTATAAACCAACCTCATGTCTTCGTGTTTGTAGTCACCAATTTGTTCTTTGCTGAGGACTTTTCTTTGTAGTCCTTTCTTTGCAATTTTTATTTTTCCTAACTTTTTCCTGAACTAATTCTTTTGAATTGATAGTCCAGCGGGATGCCTTAATTTTGCCTAAGTCACACGTTTTCATGTTTTTTGACTTAGCAGGCTTTTTCTTTTTCTCGATTTTTGACTTTTTGAACAAAATGTGTGACATTAGCTTGCATTTGCTTGTTGAGAAGATTGTGATTGCCTCGTTTCTTGATGAATGAGGGATAACATTGTGGTTCCACATCCTCTAGATTCATTATACATGAAGGATAGCCTTCATAGTTTCTCTTCAAAAAACATCTTCCTTATGAATTTTGAACACTCAGTCAGATTAACTAAAAACTACCCGGCCCCAGGTTAAAATTCAAGGTTTTTCGTATAGAAAAGAAACTTATGCTTCAAAGGCTCAAAAGGGGTTAGCAAGGGATTATCTTCCTTATATCTCCGGTGTTTAGGGATTTGAAACAATGCTTGTACATCATCAGCAAGATTTTATCCAAAAGCAAACAACCAGAGATTTTTTGTTCTTTAGATCATCATCCTCCCTTCAATCTCTGCCTAGGCAAGAGAATGGGCAACAAGTTGGTATCATAATGCCAAAAGAAATTTAAAATTTGAAAACAAATATGAGTGAAACGAATGAATTTCTTCAAGACAAACATACTCATTGTATTAAGATAATCATACAGATGCAAACAAGTTCTTACATGCAAACAATGTTTTGATAAACAAGAAAAACTACAAAAAGCAGAAATAAGTTAATGATCGGGGAAGGCTTTCCATCTGGACTTGAATTACCGAAAACATCCTTCAAAAATCAAAGTCACTATCAATCGTGTTTACTCTTCGGCGCATGCTTGATTTGAACTTCAAAACCAACGTCCTTGAATGACAAGATACCACTTCTGACCAACTTCTTAACCTCAATCTTCAGAGCAAAGCAACCCTCCAAGTCATGCCCAGGATCACCTTGATGAAAGGTACGAGTTAAATCAGCTTTGTAGTACCAATGTATCTTCTCAGGAACCTTCGGTGGAGGTCGGGTCTGAACCAAATTCCTCTGCATCAGGATAGGGAACAACTCTGTATAGGTAATTGGAATTGGATCAAATTGAGTTTTCCTCTGATTAGGAATTTGCTGATTCTGTTGATAAATGGGAGAAACATGATGACTCTGATGATGATTATTTCTTCCTCTGGTTCTCTTCTTGGAAAAGTCATTATCAACTTCTTCACACCATTAGCTGAGCTACCATCTTCATATAAACATCCCTTTCAGACATCTTCTTCTAGACGCACTCCCACATTCACCTTGTTAGGAAAGTCACTAGGCGCATTAATTATCATCTTCTCATGAATGAATGATTTCAGAGTTTCAGTGAAGACTTTTATCATCGCTTCCTTCCTCCTAGAAGGATTGACTTGGGAGGCCACCAAAATTTCAACCAAACCAGTTAAGTGATCCATACCAGCTTTCAAATTAGTCACCTCTCTGCGGAGTTCAGAAATCTCTTGCTTGATATTCTCCAATGTTCTCTTAGCGTCAGTGTTGTACTGGTGAGACCAAAGGAAAAATAAGACTTGGAAAAAGACCTTTGAAAGTGAAACAAAAAATGTAAAATGATGCATGATATGCAAAAGAGAGTTTTTATCTGACTTTCAAAGAACTCAAGATATTGAGTTGTAAACATCAAGGTATGAAGATAGAAGATGAATTCTAAATTGGATCAAAGCGTTGATCGAGTTATCATCAAGATCAATCATCCATTTTGGTGGATTAGGGTTTTCACCCTATCAACACCCAAGATCCATTGAGCTTGACGAAACTTGTGATGTTTACAAAGAAAGACCTCCAAATTCATTCAAAGTCAAGTGAAAAGGGTTTTATGGATGCATGAATGCATGGCTATGCAACAACCACAAGCAAGGTCACAAATAAAGTCGAAAGGTTCAACGTCACGAGCATGGAGTCAAGGTAAGGAGCACCCCCAAGGTATGTACTAACAGTTTAATCACACCTGTAGAACAAGGTTCTAAGAGTTCCTGGAGTCTACATTCCTCCTTCGGATATTACCAACGTCTTGATTACTCAATAATCAGCAATATTCTCAAGAGAAACTCATCCGAGCGTAGCATCGCGTAACAATTACTTCCGGATTACTCCGTTATAATCTCCGCGCTACACCTAAAAGGCCAAGGTGGGTTAAGGGTTCTACGGTTCTCAGCTTCTTTGGCTCCCAGGTCGAAAATAATAATGTCTTCCCGATTACTCGGTAAACAAATATTACGTTCAAAAGGGCCTTCCACTGAGTGGGGGATCTCATGCCTTCTTCTTCGGGATTACTCCCTCAAAGTTAACATGACTATATCGCCCGTCCTATTCCTAAGTGTAACTTAGTCCGGGTATAGGACTTGTCCTTTGTAAATATTATCAACACCCAAATAATCATAATATATACACATAATCAAACAATCAAATAATAATAAAACAGATAAAAACAAATTAGGCTTAACCCACTTAGGGATGGACCAGCAAGAGGTCAATCTTTCCCCAGCAGAGTCGCCAATTCTGTAGCGGTGAAAATCGGAGATCAAGCTATTAATTAACTTGACTCACCAAAGCAAGAGTCGCCAATTCTGTAGCGGTGAAAATCGGAGATCAAGCTATTAATTAACTTGACTCACCAAAGCAAGAGTCGCCACCGCGCTTTATTATTTCCAAGGGAAAAGGGAAAAGAGCGAAATAAAACCCTAAAATATGCAATGTAAAATAATACTTCAAAGTAATAAAATACAATGCGTTTTTGAAAGAGATCGAGAGTTCGGGGGTTGGTTATACAATGGGAAGGTATTAGCACCCAATGCATCTGCGGTACTCCGCAGGAACCTTTTGAAATATCTGTTTTTGGTTAAAATTGTTTGTTTGATTAAAATGGTTCGTTTGGCTAAAAATAGGTGTTGGCGAGATTTTGAAGATACGACGACCTAGTATCGAAGATTTAACTTACAAAGGGGTGAGTTTTAAAATTGAGTCTTTTAGAAAAAAATTAACTTGATTAACAACATAGTAAAACAAAAATGAAGGAAGGAATTCGCATAATCGTATTACATATATATATTTGATGACATGAAGTCAACAAAGTTAAAACATTTCCCTTGGATTTTAGACGAACGAAAAAAGATTAAATGATTGAGAATAAAGTTAATTGGAATGACAATTGAATAATTAAGTAAATAACTAATTTATACTAGCATGTATTTTTGAACAATTAAATAAATAAAAAATTAAATAAAAGACTAATTTGTAAAGCATGTATTTTTTGTATTTTATAATATTTAAAAAAAACAAATAGCAAAATAAATATAAAAAAAACATAGAAAAGAAAATGAGTAAATGGGCCAAACAAACCGTAATTGTTGGGGGTGAGGATAGAAACTCTTCCAACCATTAAGAGCTCCGTGATATCCAGTGTGGCAAGTTGTAAGTGTGTTGATTCCAAGAATGAATCCTCATCGTACGATCTGGTGTTGACTTATAAGAGTGTGGGATGTACACACGAAATCATATGAATCTTCCACCTGAACGGTGACAAGTGTCCTAGTGATAGCGACACTTGTCACTACCGTATCGGACCAACACAAAACAAACAATATCTACAAAAATGAAACAAAGAGATAACCAGGTTTATCATTAACGTAAAACAAAAATTTATTCCTCTATAACGACGTTCTTTCAACCTTCTCTATTTCTTCATTCAAACAAAATAGCAAAAATAATAATAATAAAAAACAAAAGTTGAAGGATCCACACGGCGGCGAGTGAAGAACGCAAGTGGTGATGCGTATGAACATGGAGGTGGCGCGTAGTGAATGGAGAAGATGGCTGGTTTTTTTTGGAGAGGAGGAATTATGCTGTGCGTTGAAATAGAAGGGTGGTTTATGATTAGATTATGTGTGGCGTAAGGGGTTGCTGAGATTTCCTTATTGTACAGCGGAGGGAGAATCGGCAATGAGGATTGGGTGTTGAAGGAATCTACAGTGATGATGGTGTAGTTGGGTTGTAATGGTGACGGATCGGGGATGTGGCGGATGAAAGGTTGAGTCGCGGATGGGTGGTTTTTATGGAAATGAGGGAGAGGAACAGAGGGTTACAGTAATTGATGAAGGAAGATGCGGCGTAGTAGAGAACACTTGGTTGCCCTGTGATCTGTTAAAACAAGACCAATCCTGCACTAATCACAAGAGCCTTCTTGCATTTATTTGCAACATTAATGGCATCTGAGGGACGTAAATCCACACTAATAATATCACTTTTCCCTGGCTGACTAAGGTACAATCTGGCAAAGTAAGTACTGACTACTCTCTCTGTAATTCTCACCATTACCACTTCATGGTCTAGTCTTTCAACTAGATTTTTGACAACATAGAACTAGTCCGGAAAATCCTCACTTTCTTCTTCAACTTCTGCATCTATAAGCTTTTCAATAGCAACCTTTCCTACAACAATGGGCAGAACATAGTCCCCATCATAAGAAATCTTGAGAAAAATGGTGGGATTCTGAAAAGCCTGTAGAAGATCTTGTCTTAATAAACTACTATCCGTTCTTGAGGTGTGTTGTGGAAATGATGAGATGGGTGATTTCCATTGTAAGTCATCTTGAAAACGGTGTCTCCACATACCATAGTGTGTTATTGTTTCTGAGAGAAGGAGAGAAGCTTCGAGAAAATCGGTGTCATTGTTGTTGTGGTAGTGATCGCCGGGAGTGGATCTGATGGGAGATGAATTACAGGAAATGAGGAAGGATTTGGGTTTAGGGAAGCGGAAGCGACGGGAGCGGAGGAGAGGGAGGTTAATGGGGGAGAAATTTAAGGAGATGGAGTGAGAGACGGAGCGGGAGGTGGCGGTACGAGTTGGGTTTGTGAGGTGGTATGGAGGAAGGTGACGGTAGTGTGCTGGCAATTGAAAGGGTTAATGTGAAGGTTGGTTTTTTGTGTGAGCAGGTGAGAGAGATAAGTGCTAGTTACTTATGTGTTGTGTAGCAGGAGAAGAAAATGAAATAGATAGATAAGGTAGCTAGCGGAGTAGAGATTTTAAAAAGAGGAAGTAGGTAGGAGTTAATGTAAGTAGAAAAGGGGAGAAGAGAGAAGTGGATAGAGGGGGAAAGGGTAAAAAGTGATATTGTTTTTGGCAATTTTGTATGAATCATCAATTTCATCCAACAACCAATAGGAATAGAGTGTAGCATAAATAATATATTTTGTGATCAAATAGTCCTTAAATGCCTAAAATAAAATAAAAACCTGAAATTATAAAAAATAACTCAATTTAAAATGATTTTTTGAATATTTTATGAATAAAAAATAAAGACCCAAAATGACCGAAAAATGATAAAAAACGGACGAAAAATTATCCGAAAAAATAAAATGAACACATTAAAATAATATACATGTCACAAAGATTAAAGGAAAAAAATGTTCAAGAAGTCAAAAAAATCAAAAATAAAATAATAATAAAATATCAGACTAAACAGACGTTTAAGGTTAAAAACGAGACTTCGAACTGTACCGAAAAATAAAGCGAGCATACCGTCATAATCTACGCGAAGCGCAGATTCATAAAATGATCGGTAAAAGGTGAAAAAATTGAAATATTTTCTCGCTACTTTCCCGCATAGTGTCGAATCGCTTTTAACAGTCTGTCTATAAAACCGAAATATTTTATTATCGACATATAAACAACTTGGAGCAGTGCAAGAAAATAGTAAACAGATAAAAATGAATGAAGTGAAATGTCGGGTATTTTACAACTGAAAGACGATGCAAACTTTGATTTAAACTGACTTTTTCTGGTCAACTTAAATACGACTAATGATGCAAATGTGATGAATGAAGATATTTACTAATGATTGTGACCAAATAACAAAATATGGTATGAACGTGCGACTGAAAAAATTAGGGGCGAAATTTAGGGTGCAACAGTTGTGCCTTGATGAATCAGTCTTCGAGAATCCATAATCAACCGTACTTCTGGTTTGGGGGACTCAAAACCTTAATTGAGGCGCGACACCTGATGCTCTTGATTCAGACCTGTCTCTGCACATGACACAAAAGAAAACATGAACATACACCTTTGTATGCGATTAGAAATTAGTGATACATATGCTAAAAATGTTCAAAACACTTGACAATCTTCGCATAGTCGAAGCTCGAAGGTGAAACGTTAAAACCGACCGTATTTCGTGACCTTGACTTATGTTAAAAAATGCAAAAAATAAAAATGGGGTCTTAGGTCAAAAATTGGGGTACAACACCTACGTACCATCTTTTCATGCAATAGAGGATCAGAGTACACGTAGTTCCTCTTTCAAAAATTTAAAACCCAAATGTGTTGGTTAATTTTATAAGATAAAACATCACCGTCATTGTCCGTGTGGAAAACACACCTACTACCCACAATCATGATAAAGGAGAATTTGCATCATCTCAAAGTGGAGGACATGGCTTGGATTTCAAAATCAACAATGCCTCACTTAACACCCAAGTGGAAAATATCTCTCTTCACTACATATTGTAGAAGTATAGTCGTTTGCATCACTACAAGGATTGACAAGAGTTTAATATTTTAAGAAAAGTTTTAAAGGTAAAAAGCCAAAGTGGCAAAATGGTTTGGAATGAGATTGATTGAGTTTTAGTCTTCTCACAAAAAAAATGTCAAGGTATTATTAAGTTGATTGGAGTTTATTTATGAAAATGTTTTGAAAATACATGGATCTAAGTCTAAGTTTATTATGAAAATAGTTCAAGTTTCAAAACAAGAAGAGTTTTCAAAAGGAGGAAGAAGATTTTGAAATTAAAGAATATGGGAGGAGAAGAAGAGACTATCCTAAAGCATAAGGTAAAAGCTAGGGATAAGAACCATCTAACCAACAAGAAGCCAAAACATGACATTATGAGCCAAGACAAAATTCCCATTCCTTAGATTGAAACCAATCAAGCAAAGAAATACTAGACCTCTTGAGAGAACCAAACTTCAAGTGTATTAAGTCTTCATAAAAATTGGGCAGAGTAACGACTGTATACGGGAGAATTCCAGATTACAAACAAAAGGTGTAATCACCAGAACCTGCACACAAAAACAAACAAACAACCAAATATCTTGAGGTAAACCTCAAGAACTCCAGACAAAATAATCAGATAAGATCACAAGGTCTCCAAGATAGTCCAAGGTTTCTAATCCTAAGTCCAAGAAAAAGTCCCATGCTCCATAATGCCAAGGATAGTAACCTAATAGTCCAAGTACCATTAAATATTTTTTAGGGTTTATGTTGATTATTAAGTATCTTAAGAAAGGAAAAGAAAAGCTCAAGTGAGCAAAGTAAAAATGGCAAGAAAGTAAATGCTCAAATGAGCAAAAAAATGAAAATGGCATGAAATGTAAATGCTAAAAGTAAATGGTACATAAAGCATAAAAAAGAATAAAAGCATAAGGTAAGACAAGTCAATAATTAGTGTTTAGTTGGATGACCATCTTGAAGCTTGCATTTGGAACTCATTAGAGGATTGGTAGAACCAAAGCCTCCATACAACAAGTTGCATTTGCTTTTTGTCAAGTATATCATCCATTTAGAATTCTCACAAGTACCTTTTTAAAGATCAACAATGTTTAAGTGATCCGCGTTGACCAAAGGTGTTGTAGATCCATTAGAGAATTTGTAGAACCAAAGCCTCCATACAATGAATCTAAAGGTTATTGGATCAAAGAGATCAAATTAATATACTTGGGCTTACAATCATAAGTTTAGGCCACAAATGATCATTTATTCGAATCGGGACAAAATTTAGCGCTATGATAAGCAATCGTAAGTGGACTTATATAGAAGTCGCACCTATTTTGAGGCCTGTCAATAGCAATCTATGCACCATTTGTTTTGAGACATTATATAGAGATCATACTCCAACAACATTTAGTGCAATAAAAAAGGGATTACATGAAGAGGGATGGGGAAAAATATAGAGACCACATTTGAATTAAATTTTAATCAAACTATTATTAAAATCATTCATCCATTTTTGTGGAGTTAAACTCAACACCATGGATCCAATGATGTTAATAAAGTTCATGATCCAAAATCTAACCCAAGATCAGCCAAAAAATATTCACAAAATAATATCACATTTTAATATACATAAAAGGGTTTTAAAATAATGTTTAAAAATAGAAAATAGAGAGAAAAATATCAACTATGTTCAAATTAATCAAGAAATAAAAAGTAAGCCCATAGAAAAATCAGAAAAAGGCTCAAATAATTTTACAAATTTTTTGGTAATTTTTTAAAGTCAGAAACTATTTTTAAAATTAAAATAAATGGGTAAAATAAACAAAAAATGGTAAAAAAAAGTAAAGTCAGAAACAAAAATAAAATAAATATTTGTCACAATATCATTTGATCAGCCCATAATTTTTTCAGAATTTTAAAATGTATAAAAGTATTTTTAAACGTTTAAAACAAATCAAATAAGTGTAAAATTTATATAAAAAAATACTAAAACACAAAATTAAATTGTGAATAAAATAAAAATCAGAAAGAGAATAATCAAAAATATTTTTCATAATTTTTTCAGATTTTTTGGGCTAAAAATGAATTTTCTATGATTTTTTGAAATTTAAAACAATTAAAATATAAAAATCAGAAAAAGAAAATAAAAGTAAAATATGTGGACCATTGGATGAGAGTCAAAACACGTTAGTAATCAAATCCAAGGGATCTGGCGCACTGTGCATATCATGGTCATTAGTGAATATTGTACATAATCATTAATGAAATCAGGATTTGAAAAATACAGATGGCGCGCCTTCATGGGTTGGAAGATGACACGTTGGTCATCTTCAACCTCTAGCCATCACGAATTGTAGGTCTCTCAAACTGTAAAATCAGAAGCTCAGACCTATGTCATTCGCTTCGTCTCTTCAAGAAGAAGACAACCACACCCTCGCGCCAAATTTATATAAACTGTAGCTCAAGCAATTTGGAAGGAATGTTTTGAAAAGGGATTTGAAATTTCATGGTCAAAATTAGTAAAAGGTAAGTGTTGCGACTAGAACCAAGGCAATGAGAGCAACACAATAATATCAGAGTTTTGAAGAAATGATGAAGGAATCTACCTATTGAAGTGGAGTTGCAGAGCTCTGAAACTGGACTTCTATGGAGCAGTATAGGGCACGATTCTTGAATGTAATTATGTGGTTAGCTTCAGGGAAGATCAAGGAAGGTGAGTTGATGGAAAAATTGGATTGAAAAAGGCTCAAGAATGGATTTTGAAGTTACAGAAAATTGAGTTATGAAGCAAGTTTGGCAGGGTGATTCTGGCTATCCAAGCTTGGGAAAATGAATTGGATAGTTCATGTATTTATAGGAGAAGAAAATGGGATCAAAAGGGAGAGTGAATGATGCGTTTTGGAGGGAATTCGTGCAAACCTGATACACGAGTGAAGTGTGATCCAAACTTCATCAAAACTCATCTAATTCTTTGGTTTTTGTAACACCACGTTTTCAATTAATTGATTTATTTAAATTTGGGAATTTATTTTATTAGAATTAATAAAATAAAAAGAATTATTATTTTGGAATATTTGAGGAAAATAAAAGAAATAAGGAATATTGAGATTTTTAAGTCATT